ATTTGCCTAAGGATGCCAAGCCTATTGGAGTTAGGTGGGTCTTTAAGACCAAACTTAATGAAAATGGGGATGTCGAGAAACATAAAGCGAGATTGGTTGCTAAGGGTTATGCACAACGGTATGGAGTTGATTACACCGAAGTATTTGCACCAGTGGCAAGGCTCTAATACCAAATGTTAGAAATCAGATTTTAACAAAGCTACAAAAGTGAGTGGAGGAATGTGTTTTATTCGATTAATCAGTGGCTAATATATAGTCATCTTACAAGCAAAAGGAATTAACTAACTTTACTCTTTACATGCCTACATAGTAGTAAAACAAGTAACAAACCCTATTTCTCCTAAAGAATAGGTCTTATTCAAACAGAATGATAAAACAGTAGACTAAAACAAATACTAAAACACTAATACGTGTCCACCTAACATGTCGTACAAATTTTATCAATTTTTACCTTATGATAGCATCCAAGTCTATGTCGTACAAATTTTATCAATTTTTACCTTATGATAGCTTATATTTTTCATGAATACCCTCTCGAGATGAGTTAAATTGACGCAAGTAATATTCAATATTGAAAGTTACCAAAATCTCCAATTTAGCTGTTCTTTCCTTTACTTCTTTATTTTTAAAAACATAAAATATGAGGCTATTATGTTGATATTATTTTTTCTATCAAATCGAAATACAGATTGATCTTGATGATATAATTGCTCTCCGTTTGGTGTATTGTTTATTTATTTATTTACTGGTTGCATGTATTTTATTTTTTTATTTTAAGAGTTAAACTTAATAATCTAAGTTGGTTTAATATTAAACTAATTGATTGCAAGGTTGAATATAATATAAAAATTATTCAAAATTATTATGAATGATTATCATATGTACGTTTACAAAATCTCTTTTCATATAAATTTTATATTTTAGGTTCATTTTATAGCTTACTAGATGATGAAAATTTTAATACAAAAATAATTAAATAAACATAAGAATTAATTATATAAAACATGGTTCAGAAGAATTAAATTGTATCTACATCCTAATCAATATAAATTAATCACTTAATATTTTTAAACAAAAAAACGAAATAGATATAAAAGGATAAAACTTAAAATTACAAAATTGAGATCACCAACGCTATTCGAATCACCAATTTTTACTCTTAAGTGCTTGCTTAGGTATTTTTAAAGGTTTTTCACGTATTCTTTTACAAAATCCAAAATCTCTAGTTAAATATGTCCTTTTGATGCCCGCAAATGCACAACACAACATGACTTAACATCATTGAAAACACCTACCTTGCATGCATGGATACAAAATCTATCAAATATGTCCTTGAAAACTTCTACCATGCATGGTTACAAAATCTCAATTAAATACGTCTTGTCTTTTTGATAGGGAAAAAGGCTATAAATGACCTACGTGCATGGTTACAAAATCTTTCAATCAAATATGTCCTTTTGATAGTCGAAAGAGCTACAAATGACCTAACCTACCGTGCATGGAGTCACCCTATTGCAACAACCTTCTTTTTGTATTATATTTGGTAACTATTAAAGCAACTCAAGTAATTACTTCAATTTCTCTACTATTTCTTTCTTCTTTGTTTTCTAATCCAATGTTTAAAAGTAAACTCACAAAAATAGATAAGAGAAAGAAATGACATGAAAATTTATAGAAGGTTTAGTTTTAAAAAAATATAAACTCACGAATCAAAAAATAACTTAATATTAAATTCTCCAAAATATTTTTAGGTTATTTTCTCTAAGAAATAGACGTTTTAAAATAATATTAGTAAGTTTGTGATTTAGCAATAATGATTTATGAGAATGCCTTTGTGTTTCACAAAACTCTAATCACTCAGACATGATCAGACGAGCTTTTACACTTTTTCTTTTTCATATTCTAAAACTTTAAAACTTTGTCGAATACACAAATTGTATAAGTACTTACTTGACTCTTCTTGAAGATGAGACTTGAGATATCTTCGATTCAGACACCATCATCAGAGGATATCATAGTAATCATTAAATTATCACTCTTCAGGTTTATTCGAAGAAAGAGCTAAAACAAATTATCTTGTGCATCTGTGACCACTTTGAAATACTTGCTTGTCTTTATGAATAAAGTCAAACTGCATCTTCATGAGTTGCCATCAAAGTTGAGTTGTCATCATCAAAATCATTTTAGATATGACTTGTTTAACTTTGATCATTTATTGATTAAACTTGTAAACACATTCCACAACTCTGTGTTGTCTACATGAAACCCAATGATTATAAGTTTATAGAGATTTACTTTTCATGGGAAGATTTTTTTTTATTTGTAAGAATGTTAAGTCATTCGTACGAAAGTGATCAATGTGTATATGTCATGTCATATATAACTAAATGCATCTTCAACTACATCTTCTTGCATAGATTTACAAACACATTGAAAGAGTTGTGGGACTTTAAACCTTTGCTACTACTAGTGATATTACATATTCCACAACTACAAAAATAAATACAATAACTCTAAAATATTCTAGAATTTGAGCATAATTAAGTTGAGATTAATATTAGGAATATGTCTAACACTCTTCTGTTGAATCTTGTATCTAACACCATTTCAACCAAAACATATCTCATATCAATAATTTCTCAAACTCCCTTAATTCCCATTTTTTTCGTGGAAAATCACCATCAATATAAGATGACAAGAAATCGTGCTTATGAATAACATGATACAAAGCTTTAGAATCAAAAATCAATTTGATTTTAGACAGGCAAGGTTTATGAAATTACTATCATAAAGAATGTACACATTATTATTATTATTATTTGCAACTGCACCCATGTTTCTACCATTTTTCTTTTCATTGCTTTCATCTCTTTCTCTTGAGGGACATGCAACTTCTTTTTTAGTGTATCACATTATCACAATTATAACATATAATTTCTTTTCTAGTTTTTGACTTAATTTTTATAAAATTTAATGCCTTGAATTTTTTAATGTAAATATATAACTAGAGCTTCAGACTTATTAGAACTAACAATCAAACCATACATTTTCTTTTAACTTCTTCATTGCACATAGAAATTATAAGGCTTTTGTTGTAAATCGGATATTTTGAAACAAAGTATAAACGGTTTTTTTATGATCAAGAAACACATAAGAGTTAGGGTTAACAAAGAAAACAAGGTAAAACAACATGGAACAACAAGGATTGGTTATACACTGTTATTTTTTTTTTTCTCTTAGAACAAGATTACAAGTATAAAAGAATAACAAAATAACATCTCTCTCTCTCTCTTGAAATTAGGATTTTATCTTTCTATTTTTCCTTATGCCAAGATGAGAGACTTGCATACTATTTATAAGAAAAATAACACACTAACCTAATAGTTTTTTTAACAATTACCCATTACAAACTAACTTAGGGTACAAACTAATTTAAACAATTAGCTAGGCTTACAAGCAAAACACAATTCAATATGCTAACAAACCTAGCAATATTGACTAATGTATGTTAGAACAAACTTCGACTACAACACGCATTACTCCGACAGCAGCATGCGAACAAACTTCGACCTCAATATGTTCTGAAATATTTGTAGACACCATCTTATTTACACTCGACCAGACCTTAACACCCCCAATATGTTCTGAAATCCAACCTCAAATTTATGGATCATTTTGCATTGAAAAATATGAAGAAAAAAAATTCAAACAATTTTAATTTTAATAATTAATTAAAAAATTTTGAATGCACAAACATTTTAATCCACACAATACATTAAATCGCACATGCAAACTTGTAAATAAAATATAAAAAAAAAAATCATTATACATAGAAAATATAACATAATAATTCAAACAAAAGTAACAACCAATTCAAAATATTCGTCATACTTAAACAAATCTGACATAATTTTGTTCAAACGTTTATATAATCAATAGGAGGAAAGATATATCTACATCAGTTTTTGACACCTACACGTAGGGCTGGCAATGAACCGAACCAACTCGAAAATAGTTCGAAATTCGATTCGACAATTAGATCGTTGAACTAGGTTCATGAACCTAATGAGTTGAGTATGAGCGAAAAATTAAGTTCGTTAACTAAATGAGCTGAACTTGAACTCTACATAGTTCGACTCGTTAGGTTCATGAGTTAACTCGATTACATATGAGAATAATTATACTGTCTTTAAGATTAGGTTTAAATATTTAATCTAAATCTTAGACAAATTTAATCTTCAACTTAGTAGTTTTTGAATTAGACTCTCAAATGTATCTCTTGAAAGTTGTGTAAGTTTTGAATTAGTAGATTTCGAAGATAAAGTTAAATTTCAATATGATAATTTTTATTTTATTTTAATATTTTATTTTAAAAAAAATATATTTATTTAAAATGTCAAATATACTAAAATATATATATATTAAAAAAAATAGTTTTTAAGCCCGTGAATCATGTGAGCTGATCCTAATGAGTTGAACCAAACTGTTCGTGAACTTATAACAAGTCGAGTTTGAACTTAAAAAAAAGTTCGTGTTGAACTCGAACTCGAACTCGAACTCGAAACAATTCATAACGAGTCGAGTTTGAGCTTAAAAAAAAGTTCGTGTTGAACTCGAACTCGAACTCGAACTCGAAAAATTCTTAATGAGTCGAGCCGAGCTGAGGCGAGTTCGACTCGACTCGACTCATTTCCAGCCCTACCTACACGGTAAATAACTACATAATACATATTTGTTTGATTGTTTAATAGTTTATTTTATATCGGTTTGCGTGCAGAAACAATTTGTAGTGTATCGAAAAAGAGTGTCAAATTATCAAAGCTCTTTAGCTTACTCACATTTCATTTACACACGTTTCATTAACACAATAATTGTTTATACATTCCAAAATTAAATGACTAGTGCATCAAAGCTAACTATCTTTTGCATACCTGATAGTCATCTATATAAGAAGCACACAATCAACCAACATTCAAGGCATATACTAGCTACCTAATCAAATGGATTTGGTTTCTGATTTTCCAACTTCTAGTGCCATTTCATTAGCTTTCTTTTCAATATTCTTCTTTTTCTATCTTTATTATAGATCTTCTAAAGTTTCTAATACCAAAGAGGCTCCTATAGTTCAAGGGGCATGGCCAATAATTGGTCACCTCCCACTTTTGAGGGCTTCAAAAGGAATACCTCATAAAATCTTAGGTCAATTGGCAACCACTTATGGACCCTTATTTTCCATTAAGCTTGGTTCCAAACGTGCTTTGGTATTAAGTAATTGGGAAATGGCTAAGGAATGTTTCACCAAAAATGATTTGGCAATTTCTAGTCGCCCTATACTTGAATCAACCCAACATATGGCTTACAATGGAGCCATGTTTACTCTAGCACCCTATGGTCCTTTTTGGCGCCAAGTACGTAAAATTACAACTTTAGAGATCCTCAGCCATCGACGTTTGGGGCAACTACAACATTTCCGTGTCATGGAAGTTCGCCGTTCGATCAAAGAGCTCTACAATGGTTGGTGTAGTAAAGAAAACAAGCCATTAGATTATGTGTTGGTGGAGATGAAACAATGGTTTGGCCAATTAAGTTCCAACATTGTTCTTCCCATGTTGATTGGGAAGCGATATTTCGGTGCTACAAGTGTAATAGACAAGGAAAAAGCACAAAAATGTATACAAACTTTGAATGAGATGCTGCATTTGGTTGGTGTGTTCACTGTGGGAGATGCTATTCCATTTTTGAAACGGTTTGATTTTGGTGGCCATGTGAAGGCCATGAAAAAAGCTTCTAAGGAGATGGACAAGATCTTGCGTGAATTATTAGAGGAGCATCGCAACGATAACAAGACTTTGAGTGAGAAGGACGATGTTGATCCCGATCATCAAGATTTCATGGATGTGATGCTTTCATTGCTTGATGGAACGACCGTTGAAGGATTTGATTCTGATACCACAATCAAAGGCACAATATTGGTATGTAACTCTCATCATACATATTAGTTATTCAATTACCTTTAAAATAATAACCAAAAAAGTGTTTATAATTTATTCACAGGCATTGATTGCGGGAGGAGTTGACACTACTAGTGCTACTCTTACATGGGCCATATGTTTGTTACTAAAAAATCCTCATGTAATGAAGAAAGCAAAACAAGAACTTGACATTCAAGTTGGAAAAGAGAGGTGTGTACAAGTCTCTGATATAGACAATTTGGTATACATTCAAAGTATAGTCAAAGAGACATTAAGATTATATCCACCAGTTCCACTCTCAGTACCTCGTGAATTTTCAGAAGATTGCAATTTAGGAGGAAACGTAATCAAAAAAGGAACTCGACTTATCTTGAATCTTTGGAAGATCCACACGGATCCTAAGGTTTGGTTAGATCCATTAGAGTTCAAACCGGAACGATTTCTTACCACTCATAAAGACATTGACGTTAAGGGTCACAACTTTGAGTTATTACCATTTGGAAGTGGTAGAAGAATTTGTCCTGGAATATCATTGGGTCTTCAAATGGTAAATTTAACCTTAGCAAGTTTTTTGCACTCATTTGAAATCTCAAATCCTTCAAGTGAACCTATTGATATGACTGAAGCTTTTGGAGTAACCAATACTAAAGCAAATCCGCTTGAAATCCATATTAAGCCTTGTTTGTCTTCTAATTATTATGAAAATATGTGATCATTATATTAGGTTTATAATACTGTGTATTTTGTCTATTTCTATATGTTTTTTGTTATGAATTTTCAAACTATGTAATTTTTGGTGTACTTCGTTTGGTTAAATTTCAATATATGAAAGTTGAACATATATATGGCGATTAATTTAAATAAAGATTAAGGATGAACTGTCATTTATTATACTTTTTGTTTTCATTAATATGTCTAATTATGACCGAGTATTTTTTTTATTCAATTTCAAATTTTTATGTATTTTTTTTGCAATTCATAAAAATAGAGACTCTTAATAGTTGTGGATTTTGTAAGTATATGTTATTAGTTTTTTTTTTTTTAATGTTGGTTTAAATGTATTTTTAATCTCTTTATTTTGATATTTTTTATTTTTAGTTATTTAATTTAAAAGTTTTGGAGTTAGTCCCTCTTCAGTTTTGCATACGATTATGATAATTAGGATAAAAATTTATTTTTAATGAGTTGGCATATTGACCAGGATATTTTATTTATTAATATTTTTTAATTAATAAATATATTTATTTAATTAAGTTTTTTATAAATATATTTTGAACATTATTTAGTGCAAATTTTATTTAGAAATAGATATTTAATTGAAAATTATTTAAGGTTTGGTATTAAACAAGGGAGTCAGATGAATTGGCGACACCTTGTTAAGGCTATAAGGAAGTCGCCAATTGGATTAGAAACTCCTCATGCAGTCTCCAATCCAATTGGCGACTGGGTGTTGTACTTACAAGGGTGTCGCCAATTCATCTGTAGACCCCTTGTATTTTGAATTTTTTTTTCTTTAAATAGAGGTGTTCTGATCATTTACTTCCACATTTCATCTGATATCTTTATTCTGCTAATAACATGTATCATCGCCGGTGGGGAAAAGTCGTCTATTTGAGAGAGAAACCTCTGATGGACATGTTGTTTAGAACATACAAAGTTTCAATCAACTTAAGAGGGAGCTGAATCGGTGGTTGGAAGGAGACATTGGTGAAGAGGAAAATATCTGTAGTATCGAGAGACTTGATCGGCTGCGTGGATAGGTTCATGTTAAGACAAACAAAGATGCGAGGGAAGTCATGTTTGGACCGGATGAAATTATTTTGATTGTTGTAATCAGTTAGGAATGTCGTAATCACCTAGTTAATGTTTTATGTTTTATGAAATTAATATGTGTTATGTGTTGTTAGTCTTGTTTGTTGTTAAGACCGTTGTAACAAAGACTCATCAATATATGAAAATATTTTGTTACAACAAATGAAACGATAAGCTAAATCATGATGCAGGTGTGCCTCCGACGTTGGGACATTTTTTTCGGTTGTGTCTGGGCTGACGACATATACTGCACAATCTTATCATTTTATCAGTTGTATCCATTTTGGTTCTTATACGCTTACTGTTTGGGCGTCCCTTTTTCTTTCTTTTCATGTCATCGTTGTACCAAACTATGTCACCTTGGTATGAAGGTCAATAATCCTCCATTGGTAGCACTGTGAAACGTTCGTTGTATACGTTCATAACATTAATCGCCTTGTAGATATCAGATAGATACCCATAAGCATCCTGACGAGCATGTGCGCATGTCGCAATGACATGTGAGCAAGGTACACAGAAGGCCTGGTACTTGCAACAGTCACACCAACATCTGTTTAGTCTGACGACATAGGATAAATTGGGCCTCCCCTCATTATAGTCCATTATTTCTTGTACACTGGATGTTTGCCTATGACGATCGAAGACTGTAACTGCATGTGTGTTGGCTCTGATAGTATCCTCTTTCATCAATTTCATAATGCTTTCACTGAATACCTGACCAGACGTTAACACTGCACTCCATCTCTCGCCTCTTGTTGCGAAAAGTGATGTCAACCTATAATATGCTGATCTCACCAAAGCGGTGATTGGAAGGTTTCTAATTCCTTTAAATACCCCGTTCATGGATTCCACAAGGTTTGTCGTCATGTGGTCCCAACGACATCCACCATCGAAAGCCCTTGTCCACTTTTCAAGTGGAATATTGTCTAACCAGCTTCCTGCATCTGCATTTGACATCCTAATTTCGTTAAGGTAGTATTAAAATGTTGATTGAGTTAGAGCATACCCGACATTCACAACTTTTTTATGAAGGTTCTTACCTTTGATTGCACGCATGAAGTTTTGTGCAATATGTCTAATGCAATACACATGGGTAGAAGGAGGATTATGCCACCTGTTATCATGGTTATTGTACGCACTCTCTATAGCAGCATGCTTGTCTGAAATCAAACAGAGGTTGGCTTGTGGAGCGACATGTGTTCTGAGATTCTTAAGGAAGAAACTCCAAGCAGAAGCAATCTCCCCCTCAACCAGAGCAAAGGCTATGGGAAAGACATTATTGTTACCGTCTTGTGCAACAACCATAAGCAAGATACCCTTGTATTTTTCTTAAAGCCATGTTCCATCAATTTGAATAATAGGTTTGCAGAATGCACAACCTCTTATGCATGGTTGAAATGACCAAAAAAGACGGTGAAATATGACATTTCCATCAACAATTGTTCCATTTGGCCTACATGCAGGCACTGTCTGCATGATTGCAACAGTTCCTGGTGTGTATATCTTTAGCGCTACCAAAAATCGCGGTAATTCTTTGTATGAATCCTCCCAGTTGCAAAATACTTGTTCAACAGCCTTTGCATTAAAACATTCCAGATCCTCCTATTAACATCAGTAAATGGCATCTAAAAAGAGTTAATGATTAATGGGAGTTTCCCGACTGGAAGGATTTTGCGAAATCTGAGCGTCGTAAATGGATGACCCGCAGCGCCCATGTCTTACGTGACCCGGTGATGGCAACACCATCTATACCAACTATTAATTATATGGCTTGGTACAGATCGGTTGCAACTGGGTTTGTCTTCAAAGACAGGTATTTATACGACCCACGCCAAACCACCTACACACAAGACGCTTCAACGTCTAACCCACCAGAAAGGCCATGTTACTCACAACCCCCTATCCAACAGAGTTACCAACCCATTCACCATCCAAACATGCCAAACACCCAACCACAATACCAAGAACGTCCCCCATACCATCTCCCACACACTGACTACTATCCAGAATCCCAATATGACTACGGCCCAAACACAACATCAAGATATAGCCATAACGAGGGTACATCATACCATAGCCATAACGCCCAAACATCTTTCCATAGACAAAACGCTCTGACATCATACCCTGACCTACCCACTCAACCATCTCAACAACCTTATGACTTTCAAACACCACTACAATTTCAACCTTTCACCAACAAATCATTCACACCAATGTCCTCCTTCAACCGTCCATGTCGCACACTAATGACCCCTTCATCACATCCAAACTACTCTGACATGGGTCGCACGTTCAGTTTCAACACACAAGACCTAATAGAAATGCAAGAGATCCTTCGGGAACCATCTGGGAATGTTCCTGAGACTTCAACTCCTCAAACACTAGACGTGAATCAACAACGTGGAAGACGAACGCAACGAGTTAGGGTGCCTAGTGGATGTGGAATCGGTGGCCGGTATGACCAACTCGGTCGCCAACATAAGTTTATGTAATACTTTTTTTAATTAATGATAACATTTATTTTCGCCTCTGACTTATTTCATTAATTACTTTTGGAAGTATTTATTTTTTTGAAAAAAATTTCAAAATGCAAGGGGTCTCTAGATGAATTGGCGACACCCTTATAAGTACAACATTCAGTCGTCAATTGGATTGGAGACTGCATGAGGTGTCTATAATCCAATTGGTGACTCCCTTATAACCTTAATAAGGTGTCACCAATTCATCTGACTCTCTTGTGTAATCTCAAACTCTAACTGAGATACTTTAGAAATAAATTTAAAATGTGGGCTATTTTAAGATTTTTTTTTTTTTAAAGTAGATTATTTGAGTAAAAAATTCAAATGATGTAAAACCTTTCCATACCAGTTCACAAGTGCTTTACTAATTCAGTTTGTTTAATCTATATAAACACTAAAATTCTCTTTGCAAAAATTAACGTGGGACTATCCTCCTATCTACAAAAATGCAAATTCGACGGCTCTATACTTCAAAATCTTTAAAACGTAGGTTTAGACACTTGGTGAATATCTAATTTAAGTTCATTGCCAGTGCTGCCATGGAGGACCCAAACATCTCTTGTATAATATCAATATAGCCTTTCAAGTTACTACATCAACAACCATTTTATTTATTTGAAGTTGCTGCATCTATAACTATTTTATTTTTTAAATAAAACTCCAAATTTATTCTAATACTGTTTCTTCTAGTTTGTTTTAAATGTCATTTTTTAAATAATTTTTTTTCTTTCTAATTGTTAGGTAATGCTAACTTTGTACTCCAATGACATAAGTTAAGAAACTCATTTATAGTAAATTTGTACTGAAAAAAATAATTTAAAAATAAATTTTATATTTTAATTAAAGATCGTACACAATTTTCAAAATAATATTTTTTAATTTAGTTCATAAATTGTGTCCCAAGAACACAAGTCAGCGTTACAGAGAAAGAAAAAAAATAAAATAAATGTAATAAATAATTAATGATATTATAAATAAAAAAATATTAATATTTAAAAATTAATAATAATAATAATAATAATTAATTTTTTTGATATGTATAAAAAATAAAAAGAATAATACTTAAAAAAGAACGGAGTAGTAATATAAATACTACTTGACTCTATATAATCATTTTATCTTCTTTTTCATTTATTGCTTGCAGAGTTGGTGAAAAATTTACAAGCAGTTAATGATACTGCATGGCACAATGCATTTTAGGTTTATGGATTGCTACATTTTCTTTCCAAAAAGTAAAGCATTTATAACTATTAATCAATAACCAACTTTCATTTCTTTCCAAATTTTTTCTTCCCATTTCACTACTATGCAGGTTATCTAAAAACCATTGCATGTAATTGATTGAAGCTTAATACAAGATACTATGGAGGAATATAAG